TTAAAACATTCAAACACGTAACTACCATTTAAAACATTAAGTAAAAGTAGTCTATTTTAAAACATTAAAACATTAAATAAAAGTAGTCCATTTTAAAACACGTAACTACCATTTAAATAAAAGTCGAATAAAGAGAATAATTTTAAAAATTAAAAATTCAAAAGTACAGCTACTCACGTGGATCAACATGCAATTTATACACTTTCTCAATATAGAAAGAGTATTGTGGGGCCCACAACTTACTTTCCAAAAATAGAAAGTGAGTTGCTTAATTATATAGTAAATAGATATAATAATACATGTAACAAATTCGATGTGACCGTGCATGGCCCAGTAATTATAAATAACGACTTTGATTGATATTTGTCTTGCCGGCCATTATTGTGTCTGCTGAGGCGGCTTCTTATGATATTCGGGTTGGGCTGATGGCGTTGAATTCTGCTTGGCTCGAATATGGACAATCTTGACTTTTGAGAAATCGATTAATAATAATAAAATAAATCGAAGAACTTGTTATTTTATATTTATACTAATATTCGGCCCTGTGCATTTGCACAGATGTAAATAAAGTATTGTGAGTTATTTGTATGCATATAATGATTAATTATTTTCTTTGACCTTTTTTCTGGCAAAATTTACAATTAAAAGAGCTGGAATATTTATTTTTTTTTAATTGCGTTTATCTGATTGGATGTAATGTATATTTTGGTACGTCTTTTTTGTGAATAATTTATTATTTAGGAATTTCAAATACGTTTTTTATTTTTTAAAAAAATAATAATTTAAATGTAACACAATAATAATATCTAATCACATTATACGTCAACACATTATATGGTCAACTGTCAGTAATCAAAAGTTCAAAATGATTTTTGTAATTTTGAAGTGATTAGTATTGATTATTTAATAATTAATGAAAGATTAAATACATCAAAAGTAACGGTTTTTGGAGGGAAAAATGTTAAATTGCCACATAGGTAAAATTAAATAGGTTTTATTAAATACTATTGGCTAGTAATTATATATATATAAATTTAATATATATCTACGTGTAACATTTTTATTAGTGGAAGCCAAAATGGGTATCAACAAGGGGATACAAAAATCGCGCTTAAAAATAGGATTTACTCGAGAAAATCGCGCTCAAGAAAACGCCTCTCTCCCTCAAAACTCTTTCATTAAGCAAGTGTTCTCTACTCCACCTACCTAACTATTTTTCTGGCCACGACGTGGACTTACGCCGCACATATGAATTTCTCCAAGTGGTATATGTAATTAGGAAAATTCTATAAATATATATAATAAATGTATATAGAGGTGTACGTAAACTCAAATGGAGTGAGTTCTATTTGATTTTTTTTATATTTGATATATTTCAGTCAATGTGATTGTTATGTATACCCCTATGTACAATATTTATGTACCTATAACATTTTTCATTTGATGAAAGGTGCCAAGTAATAAATTTATTTAAATTTTTATTTCAACAAGCTTATAAATTAACTTTACAACACTGTTATTATTATTATTATTATGTAAGCTTGTTATATATTCAAATTTTCTTATAAACTAGTTTAGTGTCATTTACGGTACACGTGTCTTGCACCATGTGGTTAAAGGTGACACGGAACTAAACCCATTTCCAGACTCAGTCAACTTTTCTTTATATTTTCCTATCTCTTCTTCTTATCATACCCGCGGGCCCCGCAAATTGCTCCAGAAAAAATTCTAACTCATCTCTACCTTCACCCACACGTAGCACTCTCGCTTCTGTGCTACCCATCTATCCACCCGCCACGTCACCAAAACTGTGAACAAGCAGAGGAAAATAGTGCAACCAAGCATAGTTTTTTGATTTGGACGGACTCCGCGGGTCTACCCGGACAGATCGGCCTGAAGGCGAGATCGTTCCGAGTGAATTATTTGGACCGGGCAATAAAGGACTCGATCAAACCCGGCCCGAGTCAGACCAACTCGTCCTTGACCCAGCCTGCTCAACCCGATTGAATATAATTGTTTAATTTTTTTTTGTTTTTTTCTCAAAATAAAACTATTTATATATATTTATATAGTAAATATTATCATGAGATACATATTATTAATATTTTAATGTATAAATTTTATACACAAAATATTTAATTTTGTTACTTTTATGTATACATTTAAAAACAAAATACTCTATATATAAATTTAAAAATTTTAAAATTAATTATTCCGTTCATTACTAGGGCGGATTTAAAAACTACGCAACCAAAGTGTGTCTTTATCACACCTTATCTGAGTTATCTCCTACCAAATTAAAACACCTCCTCTCCGAATCAACCTCTCCCAGTCAGAACTCCCAAATCACAATCCCCAAATGGCCTAACAAACTAATTACGAAAATACCCCCTTCTCTCTCCAATTTCGCCCAATCCCTTTCTCTCTCCTCCATGGAGAGCTACTCTTACAACGCTTCCTACCCCGAATCCGGCGGCTCATCGCCGCGCTCCCG